GGGGGGCGGAGCCGCATGCGAGCGCAGCCATTGCGGCGTTCGGTGGAGCTCCTTATGGGGCCACGAAACGTGTGAGGGGTGTGCCAGACTGGGTGGAGGAACCGCATGCGGGCGCAGCCACTGGGGCCTTCGGTGGAGCTCCCTATGGGGCCACGAAACGTGTGAGGGGTGTGCCAGAATGGGGGGTGGAACCGCATGCGGGCGCAGCCACTGGGGCCTTCGGTGGAGCTCCCTATGGGGCCACGAAACGTGTGAGGGGTGTGCCAGAATGGGGGGTGGAACCGCATGCGGGCGCAGCCACTGGGGCCTTCGGTGGAGCTCCCTATGGGGCCACGAAACGTGTGAGGGGTGTGCCAGAATGGGGGGGGAACCGCATGCGGGCGCAGCCACTGGGGCCTTCGGTGGAGCTCCCTATGGGGCCACGAAACGTGTGAGGGGTGTGCCAGAATGGGGGGTGGAACCGCATGCGGGCGCAGCCACTGGGGCCTTCGGTGGAGCTCCCTATGGGGCCACGAAACGTGTGAGGGGTGTGCCAGAATGGGGGGTGGAACCGCATGCGGGCGCAGCCACTGGGGCCTTCGGTGGAGCTCCCTATGGGGCCACGAAGCGTGTGAGGGGTGTGCCAGAATGGGGGATGGAACCGCATGCGAGGATGGGGCCGGACCAGGGCCGCACCACTGGGGCCTTCGGTGGAGCTCCCTATGGGGCCACGAAACGTGTGAGGGGTGTGCCAGAATGGGGGGTGGAACCGCATGCGGGCGCAGCCACTGGGGCCTTCGGTGGAGCTCCCTATGGGGCCACGAAACGTGTGAGGGGTGTGCCAGAATGGGGGGTGGAACCGCATGCGGGCGCAGCCACTGGGGCCTTCGGTGGAGCTCCCTATGGGGCCACGAAACGTGTGAGGGGTGTGCCAGAATGGGGGGTGGAACCGCATGCGGGCGCAGCCACTGGGGCCTTCGGTGGAGCTCCCTATGGGGCCACGAAACGTGTGAGGGTGTGCCAGAATGGGGGGTGGAACCGCATGCGGGCGCAGCCACTGTGGCCTTCGGTGGAGCTCCCTATGGGGCCACGAAGCGTGTGAGGGGTGTGCCAGAATGGGTGGGGAGGGGGAGGAGGGGGGAGGAAGGGAGGAGGAGGAAGGAGGAGGAGGAACGCGGGGCGACGTTTCTCTTCAAAACGAGGACCCAACACCACAGGATGGTTGGGAAAAAGGGGAGAGAGAGAGAGAGAGGGAGAGTGAAATAATCAAACAAGTACTACAGAATGAGAGTGGCGGAGTAGAGAGCGAGGGAGAGAAGCATACAGAGAACGTGTTTGACTGTAGGTGTAACTCTGTTTAAATATATATATATATATATATATAATATAAACAAATAGGCCCCCCCCCCCCGGCGGGGCCGCCCACCCCGCAACCATCGGGGAACGCTTTTTGATACCCCCTCCCCGGGGCCTCCAAGGAGCCTCCAAGGAGCCTCCAGACGACCCAAGAGGCCTCCAAGACGGCCCCAGGAGGCCCCCAGGATGGTCCAAGAGGGCCCCGAGGCGGTCCCAGATCGCTCCAAGACGCCCAAGATGGTCCCAAGACGGCCCAAGGGGCCTCCAAGACGCCCCAAGAGGCCTCCAAGAGGCTCTCCAAGAGGGCCCCAAGAGGCTCGAATCGTTGATTTTCCATTGTGTTTTTCGATGTTTTTGGCTTTCTCTCCTTTTGGGCTCCCTGGCGCTCCAAGACGGCCAAGAGGCACCCAAGATCGCCCCAAGACGGCCCAAGAGGCCACCAAGACGGCCCCAAGACGGCCCAAGAGCGCCCCGGGACCGCTTAAGAGGCCTCGAAGACGGCCCAAGAGAGTCCCAACACGGCTCCAAGAAGGGGCCCAGACGCGGGATCCGAGCGCACTTTACGGGCCCTCGGCCCCAAGAGCATCCCCAGAAACCACTAGAGGCTCCCAAAGGCCCCCAAGAGCCCCCCGGGAGGCCCCCAAGAGCCCCCGAGCAGGCACCGAAACGAGCCCCATGCGATTTCGGACACTTTCATATGCACCCCTTCTTCCTTCCGATCCGTTCCGTTGAGCTGCCTGCATTGAGTAGCATGTGCATTGCATTTCAATTCAACAATAATGCAACGTTTGGCGTTTGTTTTACTACTCGCATTGGTCTGCATGGCGTTGCATTCGATACGTCTGTGTGCGCCCTCGTGTGTACTACGGCCCTGTTCGGTCTGCGCCATTGTTACCTCTCCAGTTCATGCTCCTGCCATTGGTGGTTACGTGCACGCGTGCACATTTTAGCTTTGAGAGGATGGGGGCTGCTGGAACCTCAGCGCGCTCGAACTGCGCGTGTGGTGTTAGTTGGGGCCGAGGGTGCGAGCTTAGCGTGCACATGTTAGCTTTGAAAGGATGGGGGCTGCCGTTGTTTCTGTGGCCTCCTCGTCCTCCTCCGTCGGGACAGCCCATGTCTAATTAGCTGATCTCGGTGCCGACGCCCACTCCCTGACCACCCTCTTCCTCTGCAGCCTGGGGTGTCTCCTCGTCGTCGTCGTCGTCGTCGTCGTCGTCGTCGTCGTTCTCGCCGTCGTGGTGCCATCACACTCGGCGGCAAGCAGTGGGGACAGATTGAAGAGAGCGGGGAGGACAGGGAGGAGGAGGAGGAGGTGAATGAACAGGGATCCACTTCAGGGAGACGGCATCGAGGAGAAGAAAGAGGAGGAGGAGGAGCAAGAGGATAGGATGATGGGGAGAGATAGAACGGAAATGAGGAGGAGGGGGAGGGGACTGGAGTAGACCGATGATGATGACGGCGACGACGCTGATGATGAGGATGACGAGCACAACGACGGCGCCGACGAAGATGATGATGATGATGATGATGCTGATGCTGATGCTGACGATGATGATGCTGATGATGATGACGACGACGATGATAGTGAGGACAACGATGACGACGACGATGATGACGATGGTGCTGACGATGCTGACGATGATGGTGGTGATGATGATGGTTGTGCTGGTGATGGTAATGGTGAACACGACCATGACGATGACTACGATGGTGATGATTGCGATGATGACGATGGTGAGGATCCTGGCTAGAACTTGAGCGCGCGCGAAGCGCGCGCGATGGTTCTAGTATATATATATAGTATATATATATACATATATATGCACAGGAATGTCTAGGAAGTGATACACACATATATATATATATACATAAATAGAGAGAGAGAGATGAAAAATAGAGAGCGAGAGGAACATTTAATACTTAGACTGGACTAGAACGTATATTCGAACTAGATCAGGTCGGGAGGGATGCCGATTGAGGCACCGGCGAACAAATCAAGAATCCATTGACTGGGCTTTCTTTGGTGAAGTTAAAACGAGTGCGCGCGACGCTGAGGCGAGAGCCACATTTTGAAAACCACCTTCCCTCAATCCGTCAAAGGCTTGCAATGTTTTAAGACGAATTTGCGCGGTGCTACGCCGAGAGCCACATTGTGAAAACCACCCGCCCTCAATTCGCTAAACTCTTGCATTGTTTAAGACGAATGTGCGCGGCGCGAAGGCCAGAGCGACATTTTGGAAGCGGCCTGCCCTCCATCTCTGAAACTCTTGCCAGCTTCTAAGCTTCAAACTCATAAGTGAGAAGGGGGTCTCAGGCGATACGCCCGGCCCGCCCTTCTGATTGGCCTCGGGTTGCGACCGGGAGGAGTTATTCAGAAGGATAAAGAATGGAATGGGGGAGGGGTGAGTGTGAGGGAGGGGTGAGCATCAGCATGAGCAAGGGTCACGAGTAGGAAGACGAGAGGGGGGGGCACGGGCGGGTGCAGGAGCACGAGCAGGAGGCTGCGGCCTGGTGGCGCCTCCTCTCGCGCCTGTCTGTCGCGGCCTGGCCTTCCCCTCCTATGTCTTCTTTCGCGGTCCTCCCTTCTTCTCTGCTCCTCCCCTCACTGCCTCTTCCATTTCCGGTTCCCTTTCCCTGCTCTCGCTCCCTCCCCTCCCCTCTTCTTCTTATCCGTTCTACAGCTACTCAATGTGCATCGACCCTCCTCTCTCCCCGGATCCCGTCCGGGCGTTGCAGGAGATCTCCCGCATGTTTTTGCCGCTGTTGCTCGCCATGGCTGTTTTAGCGATCAGATACCATAAAAGTTGTTGCTCGTTGTGCTCCCCCGGCTTTCTCAGTCGGAGCGTTTCCGGCGTTTCGGACATGGTGCTCCCACTGCGGCTGTGGCCCCATGTTTGGATCGCGGCCCTGCCCCCGTATGTTCCGAGTGTCGCCCTCGCCCCACCGCGGGCCACACATGCTGGATCCGCGTCGCGCCCAGTCGTTGTCGCCCAGCATCGGAGGGCACCAACTATACACCAACACCGATCCTGGCCCAGGATCACCCTGGGCCCATGATCGGTGTATATGCCTTCTTGCCCAGGGCAGGAGGGCATATACACCGAACCTGGGCCCAGGGTGATCCTGGCCAGGATCGGTGTTGGTGTTGGTGCCTTCCTAAGCACCTTTCCCCGCCTCCGCGTTCCCCTGGCTCTCCTGTTCGTCCCGTTCCTCGTCCTCCTGCTCCTGCTGCTGCTGTTCCTCCACGCCCTCCTCCGTCCTGATCCTCAGCGTCGTCGTCCTCCGGCTCATCCTCTTGCTCATCCCCCACCCCCTTCTCCTTCAACGTGCTCAGTCCCCCTTTTTTTCTGATTGCGCATGACACGATGGGGTCCATTTGGGGCTTCCATGTCCGCTTAGATGGCTTCCACCCGTTGGCGGATAGAGACAGCAAACAGCAGGAGTGGGAAGGGACGGGTGAGAAGGGTGGGTTGTCTGACATAACGCGTGCGCACCTAGTTTGCCTCTTCCTCTCTCCTCTCCTCCTCCTCCCTCTCCTCCTCCTCCCCCTCCCCCTCCTCCTCTCTCTTCCTCCTCCTCATCCTCCTCTTACTCCTCCTCCTCCTCCTCCTCCTCCTCCTCCTCCTCCTCCTTTCTCCTCCTCCTTTCTCTTCCTCCGTTCCCAGGCGATCCGCTCGCGCATTCCCGGCCCGGACGTCCTCGCCGTCACCCCGGACAATATCCTGAGCTATTGCTGCGGCCCTCTGGGGGGGCGCGCGATGACGGGATCGATAGTCATGAGGACGTGCGTTTCAGTATCGTTTATCCGATCCCCATCCCCATCCCCATCCCCTTCGAGACCCCCACCAAATTACCCCCCCCAGATGGGGATACACCCCTCGAAACCCGAGGGGAACGGCCTATATCCCCATCTAGGGGGGTACATCGGCCAGTGGTGCCCAGGCCACGCCGCTGGGGATGGGGATCGGATAAACGATACTCAGCATTAGCCCAACATGAGGCATCCCAGAAAAGGGCTCCGTCGAGAGATCGAGAAGTGGACACCTCTTTGTCTGCGGGGGAGGCCCGCGGAAGGGCGGCGGAAGCAGAGCGAGGGCAGCTCCGACGGGGGAAGTTGGCGAAAGGCCCGCGTAAGCCGGCGGCAGAAAACAGATTGCAGTCTGCGAGCTGCCAATATTCGGCGGCGAGCGAGGGAGGGAAGTGAGAAGGAGAAGGCCCTCTCAGAAGGTTCGGAAGTCCCACGGCCTGCTGAGAAGTTGTCGAAGCCTTCCCCGAAGGCAGGACAAACTTCTCAGAAGGCGCGAGGGCTTCTTAGAAATCCCGCCGCCTTCTGAGAAGGCCTTCTCCTTCTCATTTCCCCCCCTCGCTCGCCGCCGAGAGATACCATCATTCTCTGTTCAACGGACTGGGGGCGGGGGGGGTGGGCGAAGCGGACTGGCACTCGCCGCACTGCACTGGCGACTGGAGACGTTGGTGGGGCCGCTTAGTCAAAGCTGATGTCGGCAGCTCTCGGTGGAGCTCCCATGTCGTGTTTCGCCTTCTATCCCTCCTCCCCCCCCCCGCGGTGCAACATCTGTGGTGCAAGCTGGGTGGTGTAGGCTGCCTGCTCTGGAAGCTCTACGGGGCAGTGCCTGTGGTGTGTAGACTGGGCGGTGCGAGAGCTGCTTGGCGTGAGCCGTGTCGCGTGAGCTGTGCAGCGTAAGCTGTATTGGTGATAGCTATGTCTCAGGAGGAAAAAAACACACACAGACACAATGAATCGTCGACTCCCAGGAACATATGGGAAAACATGGGAAGTTGGGGGGGGGGGGGGAAGACAGAAGCCCAGAAAATATGGGGAACATATGGGGAATCTTGTTATTGGTGTGTGTTTATTTGTGTGTCCTTGGGGCCCCTTCAATGTCGTGCAAGCTCTGCTGCGCAGACTGCGCGGTGCAGGCTACGCGGCGTAGGGATCTGTTTCGTATAGGTGTCGTGTATGTGTCGTGTATGTTTCGTATATGTTTCGTATATGGTTCGTATACGTTTCGTATACGTTTCGTATACGTTTCGTATACATTCCGTATACGTTTCGTATACTTGTCGTATACGTTTCGTATACGTTTCGTACACGTTTCGTATATGTTTCATATATGTGTCGCATATGTTTCGTATTTGTCTCGTGACGCGGTGCCGCAGCGGTGCGGCCGCCCACGGGGCGCGCACGAGGCGCCCACGGGCGCCCACGGGCGCGGGCACCCTGCGAGACCCCGCCGGACCCGCCCGGCGCGCGGGGCGCCCGCGAGGCGCCCACGACGGAGCACCAGCCCGGCTCCAGTCGAGGAGGAGGAGGAGGCGGAGGAGGAGAGGAAGTGGGAGGAGGAGGAAGAGGAGGAGAAGGAGGAGGAGGAGGCAGAGGGAGGAGGAGGAGGAGGAGGAGGGAGGAGGAGGAGGAGGAGGAGGAGGAGGAGGAGGAGGAGGAGGAGGGGGGAGGAGGAGGAAGCGGTGCAAGCACAGCGTGGGTCGACTAGACATGTAAGAGTGAGCTTTCGCAGGAGTGACCTCTTGATGCGGGCACAGGTAGGTCCCCAGATGGCTGAAAACACAGCAGCAGCAGCAGCTGCTTGCGCGCCCAGGTGTGGTCCCCCTGCGGCCCCCAAAAAGCCGCGCACCAAAGGTCACTCTTACCCAGGGTCACTCTTGCGTATAACCGATTGAGGGAAAGTGACAAAACAAGTCGCGCCGGTAATGTTTTCCAATGCCAGCTGGACGACGACAACGGCAGCTCACGAGAGAGAGAGAGAGAGATCGAGCAGGCGCTATGACGGGTTGCTCGTAGCGTACCTGGAAGGGTCGGATCGGCCCGAGGGGCGAGTTTTGAAGACCCTGGGGCCATGGTAGCGGTGATACTTAGTGAATTCAAACATCCTGGGCACTGGAGGAGAACAGGTGAAGGTGCAAACGAAACACCAATGAACGTCTGTCCACTGCACGCGTTTCGAACAGTCTGCTTATCGGATGGGAGGGGGCAATCGCTTCTTCGCAGGGGGAGGGAAAGGATCGGGAGTAGGGGGAGGCGGTGGCGGAGGGCGGAGGAAGGGGGGGGAGAGCAGGCGAGGAAGTCGGCAGGGAGAACGCGATTCACGGAGGGGGTGGGAGGAGGGGGAGTCGAGTTGATGCCTCACGAGGAGCAGCGGGATCAAGAGATGCCCATCGGCGCCACCGGAACATACTGATACTGTATGCGCGTCGCCCCCGAAGGGGCGACGCGCGCGTCGAGAAAGCTGATAGTGTATGCTCCGTGGTGGGCGCTTTCTGGCCATACCTTTCGGGAAATGATATACTACAATATGGATGGTTAGATATGCGTGTATGTATATATATATATATATACACACGTAGATGTACATATAGTTATACACATGTTTATATGTTCGGGTCGGACGCACACCTCCGATGAGGACACGTAGTTCTTGTATGTCCTTCTGCGTCCCAGCCCAAGCTGCGTGGATTCAACCCTCACCGCTCCGAGTGCGGTGGGGGCTCTGCGAGGGCAGGAGCCCCAGTCAAAGCCCAAGCACTCCCCTCCCGCTCTCCTGCCCCCCCTTGCCCTCCCTCCTGGAAGGCGGGGGCGGACGAGCATGGAGGAGGCTTCGAGGAGGATGAGGATGCAGCACGTGAGAGGAGGAAGAGCAGGCGATGATGATGATAATGATGATGATGATGTTGACGACGATGATGACGATGACGACGATGATGATGACGATGATGACGATGCTGATGATGGTGCTGTTGATGGTGCTGTTGATGGTGATGCTGATGCTGATGATGCTGATGATTACGATGACGACGATTATGATGATGACGATGATGACGATGATTACGATGATGATGATGATGATGCTGATGATGATGATGATGATGATGATGATGATGATGATGATGATGATGGTGATGGTGATGGTGATGGTGATGATGGTGATGATGGTGGTGATGATGATGCTGATGATGCTGTTGATGATGATGTTGATGACGAGGAGGAGGAGGAGGAGGAGGAGGAGGAGGAGGAGGAGGAGGAGAAGGGTGCTACCTGGTCGCCGCCGTCTTGGGGGAGCTCAGGGTGCGCGGGTGCGCGGCCGCGCGACAGACTGTGCCTGCTGCTCGAGGTGGAGGAGGAGGAGGAGGAGGAGGAGGAGGAGGAGGAGAAGGAGGAGGAGGGGGAGGAGGAGGAGGCGGAGGCGGAGGAGGAGGAGGAGGAGGAGGAGGAGGAGGAGGAGGAGGAGGAGGAGGAGGAGGAGGAGGGGGAGGAGGAGGTGGCGGGCACTCCGCGGATACCGAGAGTGCCAAGCGGGTGCCAAGCGCCCATCATCAGCATCCCATCCTACCTCTTCTTGCCCCTTCCTCGCACTGGGGCAGTCCTGAAAGTGCCACGAGCAAGAGAAGGTGGAGAAAACAGACGTATGGCGGAGACGCGCGACGTGCGTACGGTAGGGTGGTAGCATCAGCGAAATGGTCCAATCGCTCAAACCGATGGTGAGAACATGCGCCGATCGCACCGTACTATGTACTACGTCGGTCGGTTGATGTAGGACGTTTGTGCGAATCGCCAAGGCAATTGGGCGCTGGTAGAGAAGGACATCGTCGCGGTGCTGCCGCAGGCGCTGGCGAGGCCCTCGGGGAGGGCGTCCGCTGAGGTGCCACGCCAGCATGGGAGGAGGCAGTGGAATGAATGCCCAGCTGTCTGCGGCAAATCTCGCCACCCTGCCAGCCCAGCACTCTGGGCGGCGACTGTTTGCGGACCGTGCTGGGGGCCGTATTGTGTGAAACCTCGTGTCCCCACGTCCGGGGGGCCGTGAAAAAGGTGGCACGTTCTTCCGCGTTTTGCCCGGGCGCCTCTCCTTGTAGCCGTCGTCGTCGTTTTCTTCCACTTCTGCGTTTCTCCTCTCTCTGGCCTTTGGGGGTCATCCTGGGTGCGTGTTGGGGGCCTCTAGAGGGCTCTATATGCGCTGAGGGAGCTCCTGGGCAGTCCAGCGCTTTTGGGGGTTCGTGCTGGAGGCCCCTTCTGGGCCTTCTTGGACTCCCCCCCTCGGAGCCCTGACAGGTCGTGTGGGGAGTCTCTTGGTCCGTCTTGTGCCCTCATTGGGAAATTGGTGGGCCGCCTTTCTGCACGCACGAAATGGGTACTGAAAGAATGGGTACAATGCCGGCCCAACAGCGGATCTGGTTCATTCTGAACAGGGTTCGCTGTCCACGCCGCCGCGGCCTGTGTCCATTCGAGACAGGAGGCCGCCTGCCCAACAGCGGCCGCTGTTGGTTTGGGACAAGATTTGCTGTTGGGCATTGTACCCATTCTTTGGGTACCCATTTCGGGCGTCCAAAGCCTTGGAGGCATTCTGGGTCATCTTGAGAGCCTGTTGGGCCGTTTGGGTGCCCTCTTGGAGGCCCCTTGGACTATCTTGGGGCCATTTTGGAGGCCTATTGGGCTGCCTTGGGCTGACGGGGGTCTTTCAATCACTTGTTGGGGTTCATTTCTTCGGGCCCTCTTGGGCCGTCTTGGGCCCTCGCCGAGGGACCCTTTGGAGCCCATTCTGGGTAGTCTTGGAGGCCTCTTCGGCCGTCTTGAAGCCATCTTGGGGCCGTCCTGGGGCCATCGAGGCAGATTGGTCCATCTTATCGGCGTGGTTGCATGCCTGGTCCGTCTTGGAAGCCGTCTCTGGCATGTCGGTGGTTTTTCGGAAGTTGGCGGCACGCAGAGGGGGGTAGGGGGAGGGGGGAAGGCTTCTTAGAAGCACCCCTGCTTCTTAGAAGGTGCGGGCCTTCTCTGTAGATGTAAGGCCGGCGCCTTCTAAGAAGCAGCCTCCTTCTAAGAAGCCTTCCCCCTTCCCCCTACCCCCTCTGCTCGCCGTGAAGGAAGGTCCCCACAGAAGTCGGGCTGCCCAGCGGGGCCTCGGGAGGAGGCGGCGGTGCACGCGCGTGGGCGCTAGCCAGGAGGGGCGGCGGCCCCTGGATGATTCAGGAGGGGAAAAACACACAGACACAATTAATCGGCGATTTCCCAGAACATATGGGAAACTATGGGAAGTGGGGGGGGAAGACAAAAAAACCCAAAATATGTAAAAATATGGGGAATCTTTTCATGTGTGTATTTATTTGTGTGTCTCAGGGCCCCTTGAATGATTCTATACACCCTACCAGGGAGCAGTGGCAGTTCGACCACACCTCCGCGCGAGCGGGGGCACGGTGATGGATCGAGGGGGAAGTGTGTAGGAGGACGAAGGGCGGGGTGAGAAGGGCGAGGAGGAGGAGGAGGTGGAGGAGGAGAAGAAAAAAGGAGGATGACGAGCAGGACAAGACTGAGTTGGAGGAGAATGGACTACATGACCGCGCGTACGTGCTATACCACCCAGGGCCAGCGAACTAGTGCATGCATCGGGCGTGACAGTAGGAACTGTATTAGCGGCGGCGGCGGAATTCGAGAGGTAACTCAGCGTAGGCGAGGTTCACCCAACATTCGGGCTGAACGACAAGGGCAACGGCAAGGCAAACCGCACAGTGCGGTTTCCTTGGCCGCTGCCTTTGCCGTCGCACCTTTGCTGGTGCCCTTGCCGTTTCCTATGCCCCGTCGGTTTCGTGCAGTCTGCACTACGCCAGGCCAACGGCACCATTACGCTCTAGCACGCCATCTACACCTGCTGGCTGCAACGGCAGCGACTGCTAGGCATCATCCTCAACATTGCTCGATTTGAGGTGCCCGACTGGAAGAGATGCGCAGCTCGAAACAGAGCGAGTTCTGACCATTCAAATCAAGCAGAAGAAACCCACAGCACACTCTACTGGAAGGATCCACTCGGCGATGACAGCCTGCCATGCTGTTAGGTCCGCATGGCTGCGGCTGGGCAGACCCTCGTCGCCATATCGGTGAGCCATGATGCGAGACATGGCCACGGCACGAAACCAACCAGTGTTCAAAATTCGACAACCTCAACGAACACCACGTCTCCACGCACATTAGGCCTGCGGACAACCAGAAGGAGTTCGTTCAAGTCCACATTGCCAACATGGTTTCATGGTCTGGAGAGCCGTGATGACGATCATGTTCGCAGCGGCGTCGCACGATGTTCCCAGAACCATGGCCGCTTAGAATCACCATCGACTTGGCGCTAGTAGCTTGCGTCTAGCGGTGTCCTCATGTCCCTTTATATGAGAAGTTCGATTGCATCAACACCGTGTACATCGATCAATGCGGTCACGGGGGCGAAGCGTCAGACTGGCGTCTGACTGGCGTGTTGTTCTGAGGGCCTCTAGAGAGACATAATCCCACAGTTTGGGAACACTCTTCCAACACCATGACTTATCGCCTTTGCCAAGACCGCTTCATGGTGGACGACGACAGCCAACCACATATTTCCGCCATGCTCGCACTGATTGCGGCAGTGCCAAAGGAGGACTGACCGCAACAATGGGCAAGTACTACAACCGACTCGAGAATGACGTCGAGACCCAGCATTCACCAGATGTTATACGAGCACACATGCGGACCGAATAGTACAACAATTCTATCAAGGGAACTGGCGAATCTTCTGCCAGCAGCCCGACAACAACATCTGAGACGACAAACATCCACGACAGCATGAGTTGGCAATTTGTGATACGGATATCCACCTTGAGCTCGTGCCGTAACTCCAGCGACAGCACATCACTGCCGAAGCAACCCTGGCACTGCCGAAGCAACCCTGGCAGCGTCCGCGACGCAGCGGGCAGCAGGCACGACGACGCAGCACCACAGAGACACCCACGCTCAGGGTGGAGACCGCAAGCGTCCAATGCTTGTGGACTGGGCCCCGTCTACAGTCGGGGCCCTGAAGAAGGAATCCTTTTCGTTGGGGAGGGGCTCCGTGTTTCTTAAGTGTTTCACAGCTTGCCTCAGGTTGTCTTTATGTTTTCGATAGGAAGTCGAAGTTTAACTTATGGAGAACAGGGGCCTCGTTCCTTATTTTGGGTTCCTTAGGTCAACGCCCCGACTGTACAGGCACCTCAGGTCGGCACCATCCGGGGCAAGGCCATGCGGCCAGGGGCGGAACCCGGCACACCCCGACGCGTGCACCACCATCACCAACGAAGCATGCAGAGGAGGAGGACGCGGCGGCGAGGTAGAGGCGGAGGGGAGGAGGCGGAGGAGGAGGAGGAGGAGGAGGAGGAAGAGGAGGAGGAGGAGGCGGAGGAAGAGGAGGGAGAGGAGGAGGAGGAGGAGGAGGAGGCGAAGAAGAGGAGGGGGAGGAGGAGGCGGAGGAAGAGGAGGGAGGAGGAGGAGGAGGAGGAGGAGGAGGAGGAGGAGGAGGAGGAGGAGGAGGGAGGAGGAGGAGGAGGAGGAGGAGGATCGGTTCGTGCTCCCGGCGGGAGAGGCCGGGCCACGGGATGGACTCCTCGCCGGGCCTGACCTGGCCTCCTAGAGGGCCGGTCCACAAGTGCCTGGCACCCCCACAGCACCTCGGGCGGGGCTGGTCGGCCACAGGTCTCTCAGCCCGACGGGGACTCGGCCTCTGCTCCGCTTCGGGGGCCTTGAGCCGGGGTTCAATTCAAACGGGGGTCCGTCCGGGCGCGGGATCTTGCAGGACCAGGATCCTGCAGGGCCAGGGTCGCATTGACCCGGGCTCGGGCGCAGGATCCTGGAGGATCTTGCAGGATTTTGCAAGGCCTGACTGATCCGGGGTTGGATTGACCTGGGTCAGTAGATCCCCGACCGCTGTCTGGGAGTGTTCCTCGAGCCTCCTCGCCCCTGTCTGCGGCGACGGCAGCGGCAGGTGCGCCGGGTCGGGACCCCCTGCCCGCTCGGGCCAGCCCCTGGCCATTGCCAGTGGCTAGGACGGCCCAGGACCCCACAGGCGCCCGCCGCTCTCTCTGTGGAGCACCCCCGAACTGCCGGTGGGAGCCCCTTCCCCCCAGGGCGTGCCGCCTAGGGGTCCCTGCCCAGCGCCCCGTCCCAGGCCCGGCGCGATGGCAGCGTCAGGCTTTTTGCTTTGTTGCATCAGGGCCGAGGTGCTGTTGTTGATTTGCCTGTCCAAGTGTTTGGCCTTCCACCGAGTGCCTTGAGCTGGCAGCCCGTTTGCTGCATGTCGCTGGTCACGAAGGCATTGTAGTGCAAAAGGCTGGTCTGCCCGACCCTATGAAGAGAACAGCTTTGGCGAAAGAGGCGGACTGGGGGGCGGAGGCAAGGGGTAGTGATGGCTTCGGCGCAAGGTGGCTTCCACTGAACTTGGATCGCGTTCCAGAGACACTGGGGGTATTTCAGGGGACTCATTGGGGGGCTCATGGGGCGCTTCGTGGCCCACTTAGGTGCGTATTGGGGCCTCTTTCGGGACTCTTGGGCTTGAGGGTCTTGGCGTGAGGTTGAGGGGTTGGCTCCCAGCTGTGCGGCGGTGGTGCGCTTTCGGGCCTCTTTTCGGGGCCGTCTTGGGGCCTCTTGCGCCAGTCTTGTGAGCTGGCAGGAGCCACGGGCCAGCTTGGAGGAAAAGAAGGGGGAGGAGGAGGAGGAGGAGGAGGAGGAGGAGGAGGAGGAGGAGGAGGAGGAGGAGGAGGAGGGAGGAGGTAGAGGAGGAGGAGGAGGAGGAGGAGGAGGAGGAGGAGGAGGAGGAGGAGGAGGAGGAGGAGGAGGGGAGGGGAGGAGGAGGAGGAGGAGGAGGAGGAGGGAGGAGGAGGAGGAGGAGGAGTGAGGAGGAGGAGGAGGAGGAGGAGGAGGAGGAGGAGGAGGAGGAGGAGGAGGAGGAGGAGGAGGAGGAGGAGGAGGAGGAGGAGGAGGAGGAGGAGGAGGAGGAGGAGGAGGAGGAGGAGGAGGAGGAGGAGGAGGAGGAGGGGAGGAGGAGGAGGAGGAGGAGGAGGAGGAGGAGGAGGAGGAGGAGGAGGAGGAAGGAGGAGGAGGAGGAGGAGGAGGAGGAGGAGGAGGAGGAGGGGGGACAAGGAATAGAGGGGATGGGGGGAGGCGATTTAGTTCCATACATCACCTTTCTGTGAAACAGTCCTGACAGCACAGCCGGAAACTGAATACGAAGCTGTGAATGACAAAGGCGTGAAACACTCGAGCCCGAGCCACACGATGGCGTTTAAACGAGGTGCGTCTGTCACTAAACCAGCAGAGGTTGAACTTGATATACAACATATACCTGAAGTGAACCAGACAGTGCTCGTATTGCGGTCAGGGGGAAGGAGGAGGGGGAACATTATACGGAGGCAAGGAGGAAGGTACAGACAATGAGTTATGTGCATAGTGTACCATACAAGAAGTAACCCGCTGAGCAGGTGCCTACAAGGGTCATTGCGATGAAAAGTCATGCGAACGCGTTCACGGGGTTCGCCACCTATCATTGCGCGTGCCGTACAGCGGGGCACGCGGCCTAGCATATCATGTGACGTCAATCGTAGATTGGCCTTCCGCGAAGCAGACAGCTGTCTGGGCGGCACTGGACAAAGCGGCTCAGCTGAGCAGCGGCCGACTCGTAGTAGCTTGGTGCCTGCACCGATTCACATTAAGGTTAGGCGCCTGAGACAACAAAGGGTCCCCAAATTATGCGAAACATGTAGACCCATGCGGTTTGGCGCGATGCCGTCAGCGACCATATCCAGAACGGTGTTGCACATGGCGTCGGCATCAACGTTCAATTCTCTGGAAACGTGGATGACCTCACACGCGCGCACGACAGGTAATCGTCGCAACTCTCGCAAAATCCGAAGGGCTGTCTCGAGGAGCGGCCGCAACGAAGGCGCTCGACACCGCCATTGGCAGTCGACCTGACGATCAAGCAACAAGGAATCGACGTGAAAACGCAGGTGCTCGGCAGGGTACCGGAACAACATGTTGCAGATTTGCCAACAGGCCAGCGTATTCCGCAACATTGTTAGTGACGTGACCTAGATGTTCGCCGCGGAAAGCCACGACGCGCCCGCTGCCTTCGGCGTAACAAACACAACCACATGAAGATGAACTCGCGTCTGCTGTCTGTCCCCTGACTCCGGCTCGCCCCGCCAGACGCGAAGACGACCCACCCTTCAGCGTAGGCGGGAGGTCTCGCGCGGAGGACACGCCGCTCGGCGCGCGTGCCCTCAGCTGGGGACCCCGTAATCCACGGGTCGTCGGTCAAGCGCCGAGCATGGCATATGATGTCTTCAAGGTTGTATAAAGTAGCGCCGGGGTGGAACAGGAGTTTGCGAAGTCGCACCACCGCGATAGTGTACGCAAGGAGCAAGGACAGTCTGCAGCTCCCCTCCGACAACATTCTCCTGCAGCCAGAGCTGGCCAACAGTCAGTTGCGCGCACTCTGGGGAGAGGCCCCTGCGATCGGAAAGTCTGACGCCGCACTCATCCCAATGTCTTGCACACTCGCCGTGCTCAACTCCGCAGAAAGGGCACGGTTGAACCGGCTGTCCCAAAACGGGCACGAGCCGGCGCGAGGTCACTTCGCCGTTCAGCCGCCGCCGCGTGAGGTAGACACCATGTTCTCCAGGCACATGCGATGGCATGTGACGCACATTCCGCTCAATCGGCGCCCCGGAGAGGCCCCGGGCTCGAAGCCTCCCAGAAACGATGCCCTTGGCACACGAAAGTTCGGAAGAACGGGGCGCCCGATGCACCAGACGAGACACGCACTTGTCCACGGCACGGCCCTTTCCCCAGCAGCCTCAACCCAGCAGCTCGCTCTGTGCGGCCGGCGATGGCGCGGAAGGCACCGAACACCCTGGCGAAACAGGACAACAGATGCAGTCCGCCTGAGTGCCGCTGTGGTGGCGCAGCTCGCTGATCACGATCCCACCCAGCCATGGGATCTGGCTGGATTGCTCCAGCGCGCCCCAGCCTCCAGGCTGTGGCAATCAGGGCTGCCGCGTTCATTCAGAATGGGTCTTGGGACCCGGGCTTCATTTTGAACAAAGCTTTCGCGTGGCAAAATACGGATGGGGGGAAGGCGAGGGGGAGGAGCACGTGGAGAATAGTCGGCGGCAAGCGAGGGGGGGAAGTGTGAGAAGGAGGCGCTCTGAGAAGGCAGCGGTGCTTCTCAGACACGCTCTGGCCTTCTGAGAGGTTTTCTGCGTCTTCGGGAAAGGCTCAGAAAATGTCTTAGAAAACCAGGGGATTGTCGAGCCTTCTGACAAGGCACACCGCTTCTCACTTCCCCCCCCGGGCTCGCCGCCGAGATGGGGCCGCTTGTTCCATCTTGGGCCCGTGTGGACGGCCTGTATTGGACGCTCTCGCGACCGATGCGACCGACGACAGAGTTCTAAGGGGATTCCGCCGATAGGGGCCGTCTGGGCTGGCCACCAGGGCCTCCAAGACGGCCCGAGGGCCCCCCGAACCGCCGAGGTTGCCCACGAGAGGGTCCTGGCTGGGCCCAGGCGGCCCAAAGACAGCGCCACTGGCCCGAAGATTATCCGTGCCACTCGGGGGGGTGAGCACCTTCTTGTTTCCCGGCTCGTGGATCCCACGCAGCGGGTGCTTGAGCGGGGCACGCCTGCATGGATTACCGCCGAGCATCGGCTGGTGGGTGGTCAGGGCGTGGGTGACGCATGCAAGGGGGGGAGCACGTACACACACACACACACACACACACACACACACACACACACACACACACACACACACACACACACACACACACACACACACACACACACACACACACACACCACACACGCACACGCACACGCACACGCACACGACACGCACACGCACACGCACACGCACACACGCACACGCACACGCACGCGCACGCGCACGCGCACGCGCACGCACGCGCACACGCACACGCACACGCACACGCACACGCACACGCACACGCACACGCACACGCACACACACGCACACGCACGCACACGCACACGCACGCACGCACGCACACGCACGCACGCACACACACACACAAACAAACAAGCAAACCAACAAACAAACAAAAGCACACACGAACACGCGCACGCGCACGCGCACGCGCACGCGCACGCGCACGTACACGCACACGCACACGCACCCGCACGCGCACGCGCACTCGCACATGCACACGCACACGCACACCCACACACACACACACACACACAACACACACACACACACACCCGCACACCCGCACCCGCACACCCGCACACCCGCACACCCGCACACCCGCACACCCGCACACCCGCACACCCGCACACACACACACACACCCCACACACCCACACACCCACACACCCATAGACCCACAGACCCACACACCCACACACCCAAACACCCACCACCCACACACCGCACACCCGCACACCCGCACACCCGCACACCCGCACACGCGCACACGCACACACGCGCACACGCGCACACGCACACACACACACACCACACACCACACACACACACACACACACACACACACACACACACACACACACACACACACACACACACACACACACACACACACGCGCGCACACGCACACGCACACGCACACGCACACGCACACGCACACGCACACGCACACGCACACGCACACGCACACGCACACGCGCGCGCACGCACACGCACACGCACACGCACACGCACACGCACACGCACACGCACACGCACACGCACACGCACACGCACACGCACACGCACACACGCACACACGCACACACGCACACACGCCCTGGGACCCCCCCCACAGCTTGGAAGGAAAGGCAAGGGTTCCTTGATTTCCACCTGGGTCGATTTGCCTCGGGTTGGTGAGCTTGGAGAGCCCCAGCCGGCCACAGGGAAAGGGGGGAAAGAGCTTCGGATGGAAACGCGTCTCTCCTGACCCACCCATGGACGACCCCCCCCCAGACACTGGAAGGGTCGGCGGGTTTTTCGATCTGCTGCCTTGAGCTCCATCGCTAGCCCCGTGTGGTCACCGAAGGCGTCGCGGTGGAGTGATGACCCATTGCCGCAAGCTCCAGGAGCGCCGCCAGCACACTGCTGGTCTTTGCGATCGGTGCGCTGACTTTCACGCCCCATGTATGGAGGTGCGAGTCTGGCGCCTTCTGGATGGACTCCTGCTTCGCCTGGGGCCCTGGGTCAGCTTGATCGCGAAGAGGTCTCCCTCTGGGTGTTCCTGCTTCTTCGGCCCCAGGAGCAGCCCTCTGTTTGGAGGGTTCTCCTGATGGTCTTCGTGTTCTCCGCCTTCGACCGTGCCTCGTCTTGGGCATCTCCACGGATTCTTGGGTTCTTGGACGTTCGGCGGAGGGGGCTCACGTTCTTGACCCCGCGCTCTTGCGGCCACGTGCTGACCGTACTTTGTCGTGCCCTCCGCGGGACCTTCCGCGGGGAGGCACGTGCCGCTCGGGGACCTGCCCCGCTTCGCTTCCCGGGCTCCCGCTGCCGAGGGCGGCCTCCGCGCGTGGCGCCGTCGGGGGCCGGCCGCGCGTGCGGGTCCCGGCCGTTGTCCCTCTCTCCTCCTGCCCGGCCGTGCAGGTGCAGCTCGCCGAGGTGCAGCCCGCCGCTGCTTCGACCGCGCCGACACCGGGGCTGCCGCGGACAACGGGGTGGGTCGGTCCTGCGAGGGCGCCGTCCTTCCGCTCGGGTCGGGCGTGGCCGGGTGTGGCCCCGGCCACGGGTGGCCCCAGCTCTTCATCGTCACCATGCTTGGCCCTCGGTCGCCTCAGGCTTGGCCTCTGGTGGCCTCGGTGCCAGCCTCAAAGACAGGCCTCTCGACTCCATCGCCGGCATCACCTTCTCTCGGCACCAGTCGTGAGGATTCCCCCAGACTCCGGGGGCAAATCCCTGAGATCGCATCCGCCTTGGGTTTGCCAACTCAGCGGGTAAAGCCCCAGGGGGATTCCAAAGCAGCTCTCACGAGGCCAGGAGGGCCCAGCGGGTTCAAGATGGAGCGAAAAGCCTGGGGCATGGCGACCCCCGATCGTGTCCGACGGCCGTTCTGGACCACGCTCGGTCCCCGGAGGCGTCGGAGGACGGCTGCCGTCGGGCTTTTCGTAACGAGGGGGGCCTCGGGGGCCTTGGGCTGGGGAGGCCGAGGATTGCAAGGAAGGGCCCTAAGAGGGATCCCTGGGGGGGCCCCAAGGTCCACCAACCGTGCACGTTTCTCCCCCCGCCCCACCCTTGCTTGCGTGTTCCCCGTTGGCTTTCGGCGGCGAAACCAGGGGGAAGGCGGAGCAGGAAGAGGAGGCGGGTGGAGGGAGGAACCGTATGACCTTGTGACAAGGGAAAGCCATCGACAGCCTCACACGACCAGCAGGCTCGAGAGGGGCCGAGCACTGTGCTTGACCATCGCGGCACAGCAGAAAGAAAGAAGCCAGCAGGCCTCTGATCATCCCAGCAGGCCGCCCGCCTGACCGTCTTGACTCCCGCACGAGGGAGAGCGCCCCGAAGGCGGGTTTGTTCCCGCCCTCGCTGGATGGCCGACCCAGGCTCACACGTAAGTCCTCCGATCGATCCTCATTCACCGTCTGATCTGTGGAGTGAGTCACACTCATCAGCGATATCAGGACGTGTAAAAATCCCCGTCCACAGAATGACCAGCAACACCTCATTGTAACCGTCACGTGCTCAGTGGTGTAGGCAGCGCTCCAATTCATCCTGCAGGCGCAAATGAATTCCTGAGGGTGCAGCAGGCACATACGATAAGAAGTCTAGATATCATGTATATATACATGTATACATATAGGTATACATATACAGCGGCGCATCCTTCGTCGCTCTGCGGTCCCTCCGTGAGGTAAGAAGTCATCGTGGGGCACCGGTTGGCAGAACAGTCTCTCATGTGGTGTGGCGCGCGAGTAAAGAGGCGCAAGCGCCGTACACGTGCACAGGGCGCGGACACTGTTCGGCAGCTGGGCCATCAAAAGCCAAAGGTTGGGAGGGATTTGGGAGAGGAGGGGAGGGGAAGGAAGAGCAGGATGATACGTAGCACCCCGCAGTTGCGGAACAGAGTGAGGGGGCGGGCGCGGGCGATGCGGGCGTCACGCCCCCGAATTGCAGCAGGCAGCTGAATTGTCAATGAACGCGTTCAGAGACAACCCCGCCGCAGACGCCGATGTGCCGTTGTAGAGTCAACGTGGGCCGGATCGGGGGAATGGCACGAGGACGATTTTTCAAATCAATGCGAGCAAGCCCGCCGCAGGCGCCGATTTGCGTGCTCTGACATGTTCAGCGCGGGGGGGATCGCTGGTGGGCCACCAGGAACGAATGCCAAAACAGCCCGCCGCAGGCGCCGAATTTTGGGATTGTTCAGTGAACGTAGTTTGGGTCGCGGGTGGGTCGCGGGTTCTCCACCTCCACCTGGAAGGGATTCAAAAGCAGCCCGCCGCAGGAGCCGAACATTTTCATTTGTACACTGAACGCGGTTTGGGTCGCAAGCTCTCCACTCGGAACGAATGCAAAAGAAACCCGCCGCAGGCGCCGAAGTTTTGGTTTGTTCAGTGAACGTAGTTTGGGTCGCGGGTGGGTCGCGGGCTCTCCACCTCCAGCTGGACGGGATTCAAAAACAGCCCGCCGCAGGCGCCGAACATTTTGATTTGTACATTGAACGCGGTTTGGGTCGCGGGTGGGTCGCAGGTTCTCCGCCTGGAACGGATGCAAAAGAAGCCCGCCGCAGGCGCCGAACATTTTGGGTTGGGTCGCGGGGTGGGTCGCGGGTGGGTCGCGGGTGGGTCGCGGTGGGTCGCGGGTGGGTCGCGGGTGGGTCGCGGGTGGGTCGCGGGTGGGTCGCGGGTGGGTCGCGGGGTGGGTCGCGGGTGAGTCGCCGGGTGGGTCGCGGGGTGGGTCGCGGGCGGGTCACGGGGTGGGTCGCGGGGTGGGTCGCGTGTGGGTCGCGGGTGGGTCGCGGGGTGGGTCGCGGGTGGGTCGCGGGGTGGGTCGCGGGTGGGTGGCGGGTGGGTCGCGGGGTGGGTCGTGGGTGGGTCGCGGGGCGGATCGCGGGTGGGACGGCAACACCAACAACATCAACCAACAATAACAACAACAACAACAACAACAACAACAACAACAACAACAACAACAACAACAACAACAACATCAACAACAGCATCAACAACAACAACAACACCAACAACAACAACAACAACAACAACAACACCACCACCAACAACAACAACAACAACAACAGCAACATCAACAACAACAGCAACACCAACAGCAACAACAGCAGCAACAACAACAGCAACGACAACAACACCAACAACACCACCAACAACAACAACACCACCACCAACAACAACAACAACACCAACAACATTACCATCAGCATCAACATCAACAACAACAAAAATCCGCATCGCGGAATTCCACTTCAGCCACGTACCTGGGGACAGTGAATGATCGTTCGGCTCAGCCCTCTCACTCTAACGAGTCGATGAGTAGTGGCGAGGATGAGGGATGGCGAGGAGTAGTACGCGGGGAGGGGGGCTGCAGGATCTGGGCACGGGGCGAAACGGGAGCAAGGTCAGGGCCAAAATCATCATGAGGACGGGGAGGAGGAGGAGGAGGAGGAGGAGGAGGAGGAGGAGGAGGAGGAGGAGGAGGAGGAGGAGGAGGAGGAGGAAAAGGAGGAAAAGGAGGAGGAGGAGGAGGAGGAGGAGGAGGAGGAGGAGGAGGAGCGGGAGGAGGTAGACACAACGCAGCCCGAGGTGCAATTCAGGTCTTACGTAAAGGGGAAGAGCAGGTGGCTGAGGAGGTGTATTGCGCGTGGGCGACGAGGAGGAGAATGTGTGAGCAGTGGGGGGTGGCGGAAGGAGGAGGATGACGAGGTGGATGAGCAGGAGGGTGGGGAGGGATACGAGATATGAGGGGGGAGGAGTCAAGGATGCCGGGGAGGACGGTGCAGTGGAGGCGGAGGTATGAGAGTTGGCGAGGGGAAGACGGGGTTCAGGATGAGGAGGAGACGCGGAGGCCAGGACAGTCCTGGACTTGCTGGGCACGCTGGCGGTGCGAGAGGCGTTCCGCGTTAGGGAGGAGCTCGTGAACTACAAGAAGGCCCTCGTGAGAGGGGGGGGATCGTAGCATGATTCAGAGAAGGAGGACGGGGAGGAGTAGGGGGAGGGGGATAAAAGGGGCATGAAGAAGGGCAGGAGTCGGAGGAGGGCGAGGTGTCATGACTCGGTGGTCGGCTGCTTTTGGACGCCAGGGCCCTTCCTAGCAGCTTCAGCCCGACGGCAGTATCACAACGGCGTTGCCCTTGCCCTGATCGGCTATTTGCTGATTTTCTACCACCTTCCTCCATTCTCCATGTCCTGGTGATCTTTCATCCAGTATGTTCTTGCTCCTCCGCCGGGTCTCTCCACCTTGCCCTCCTCGTTCGCTTGCCATTCTCTTCCCTGGACCCATCCTTATTCCCCAGTTAGGAGAGCAGCGATCGCGCCACTATCTTCCTCCATGCGCTGCCGGCGTTGTGCTCCGTCGCAGGTGCTGCCCAGGGCTGGGATGCACGCGCGTTCGCGAAGGCACGCGTCTTTACACGCCCAGGGTGGCGGCCCCCGGCAGCGGAGCAAGGCCTCCCCCCCCCCGCACAGGGTGAGCTCCAATTTGCGTGCGCTGGGCAGCTGAGCGCGCCCGCGCGCGCGCCTTCCCTTCACTGCCCTCCCCCCCTCCCTCAGAAAAAACGGCATGAACATAAACTGTTGGCAGTCCGCGCGGATTTCTTGGATCTGCGCTGGGGCCCCCCCTGGCGGCGCCTCCGGCGCCGCCCTTGGCGCGCGGAGCGTGCCAGGGAGGGGGGTCCAGCGCAGATCTAAGAAATCCGCGCGGACCTCCAGAAGTGTATGTTTATGCTGTGTTTTGTTCCTCGATTCCCCCCCTCCTAGACCCCCCCGCCTCCTGTCGTCTCGTCTGTCGATCGTCGCTCCACTGACGTCGTCGTCTTTCGTGGTCTCTGCCATGGGGCTCCTCCTGCGCCTGCA